AACTTTTCACTGCAGCCAGAAAGAGCATACAATGCAAAAGGTAGCCAGTGTAAAAGGGCAGAGAAAAACAGAAAGGAAAGGGCCAACAAACGAAATTGGCTTATACGCATGCCCGTAATTGAAGTTTTGCTCAATTTTGTACCTAATCCTCGAAAAAGCTCTTCTTTTAGCAAAAAAAAAAGCTTTTTTAGCACAACTTAGGCTTATTTAGCGTCATGGCAGCTAAAAAACCTGACTAAACGGTTAAAAACGGTATTTTTTGGCAAAAGTTTGGTATTCAAAGGGTTAAATAAAAATTATTATGAAGCACACAGTGTAATCACGATAATCGCACATATCTGGCCCACAAAACAAGTTGAGCAGGCTGAAACATCACGTCAGGACTCAAGAACATGTTTGTCACTCTCTCGACTCGTTCCTTTTGAATTGATCAAGGAATTTAAATCTGGATGATTAATAAACACGTGATTTTATCGGTAACGTTAATTTTTGCTATCCCCTGAGTTGTTGTTTTGAAACTTTTCAGCTAAAATTTTTCAGCTAAAACGGTTATTTTAGGCCACTGCACGAATATCCTTTAGTGAACTTGACATCAGGTTTTAAAAAGTATCCTCACATACTGCGTATAGCGAGCAATTTAGCCACATCCTAAAGTTCGTTGTTTGTGATTCATCCTTTCTCTTCCCCCACTCTAAACCATTCATATTCCTGAAAGCTTGATTTTGGTCCGCTGTTGTTGAATGCTAGGTATTTTTACCTCGGTACACTACTCATCTATTAGTTCATCCACGATTTCAAGGAAAGTTTGAACATGTACATAACATGCAATTTATGACTTATCATCGTGACACGCTGATCTAAGGTATCTGTTTACACTGACTTGTGTTTTGGTTCATTATAATCATGCTGACCAGCCGCACGTAACTTTAAAGTAAGGGACACGATGTATTACGAAGTCATGTACTAGTTGTGTCTCTAAGTACTGCGAAAGTTTTGTCCCAATTTTGGTTTCCGTGTTTGATATTACGTATTTCTTATGGCATTTGGCAAAATGAACAACGACAAGTCAGTCGATTAGAAACTCTGCTTCAACAAGGCGCTTTTCCTTTCATGAGCTAACTGAAAACTTCAACAAGGCGAAGTAAAACAAAACACAGTGCCTAAACTAATAATACCTTAACTCCTTACCACAATAACGCGATAACTGCTTCCAATTTATTAGACGTGAAACCGCAATAAAGCGTTCAATTGCAAATAAACGTGGCGTTGTTCTAACTTAACAAAGCGAGAAGTTAGAAGAAAGAGATTGATATAATTACCATCCAAACTTTGAGCGAATAGAACAGTGCGTGGAAAACGTCAATTCCTTCTTAGCTCAAACATCGACGGCGCGCGCGAAAAGGTAACGTGTCTCGTATTTCGTGAAAGCGCGTTGTTGTTTAGAAGGCGTGTAAGCTGAATTAACTTCTCAACATTCTCGAGATTTCAACGCCAAGCGTCGCTTTGGGTGATTAGTTCTATAAGCAAGTCAATGCATTGTTTCACAAGGGTCTCATTCAAATTGTTTTCCTTCTTTTCCTAGTCAGGGGCCCTTCTGGAAGTGCTTTCGAATGCCGTCCCCTGCAGGTCCCAAATTATCCGACCTCCTTGAATAAGGTATATGTAACTTTGATTTACCTGGCAGGCGTAAATTACTGTAATCTCAAACTAAATCGAGTGTGATGTAATAAAATATCTTTGACGATCTGAGATAATTACATGACTATCAAAGATAATTACATCTTACATGAGATACAAGATTTGCATTCGAATATATAAACTAAAGACAAAGTGAACTGCAGGATTAGAAAGCCCACGCTGACATGTCAAACCTGAAAATAACCCGAAAATGTTTACTATGCATTTTAATTGACATTCCTGACTCGAAATAACAATTGCTAAACATTTCTCTTATATTGGATCTAAATTGAAAATGTAGCCACTTTTCAGTGATTAGCCTATTTCTTTGAAGCATTTGCTTATCATTGCTGATACATCGTAATGCAAAATAAAGGAACCTAATTCTCTTAAGTTTTCTTATTATAGGAAAATTGCAACAGTCATATACTCACATAAAACGGTTTTCGTCTGTCTGCAAGACTCTCCACTTTGGACAAAATACTCTCATGATGGAAACCGCGGAGGGACTGCTGTCCGACTGGCGGGCTTGTAGACTTTCGCGGTTCAGGTGTTGAAGTCCTTGGGGTACCCTCCACTGACTTTTTTGATCCCTGGTTCAACGCTGACGTCGACAAGCTCTTCTTGGAGTTGGTTTTCTCCGGGGTTGTGTAAGAATTATTGCTCTCTTTCCGTTGAGGCGATAGGCTTGTTTGTGAGGTTGACAACTGTCAAGTAAATTGCAAGCAGCGACGTGTTATATGTTAAGCCTGGAACCTTATTCGTCTCCTTGCATTGTAACTCAAACAACATTTCTCGTTTCTCTCATTCTACTTATCGGTGTGAAAAAAAAAAAAAAATCCCGGAAGCCTGAACCCCAAACAACTTTCTATGGCCATTGCTCTCTCCAGCGTTTTCAACCTCTCCTAAGACCAGTAGCAAAATTCTCCTTTAAATCGAAAGAGTTACGTGTTTTTTTTCTTTATGAGGGGAAAGGAACGCAGTTTGAAGAATGATGCTTTTTATTTTTACAGCACCTCAAAAAATGACTCCGTCAATGGGCCAAAAATGGGTCCCATTTTGTGTTTCTGGGACTTAAGGCAAGATTCCCCTTGTTTTCTTTTTTTTTCCGCGGCTACAGTCTTTAAATTTCTCCGCCCATCCTCAGCTCTCAACCCTACATCTTCCAAATCCGGTATGTTATCTAGATATAAACGCAAAAAAATGTACGAAAGATCATATATTTGAACTGCGGAAAAAGATACGAAGACTGATGATTGATCATCGCAGTTATGTACACAACTTAAGCAGTTGTGCAATTAAAGCCTGAAAAAAATTCAGGCTTGAACGGAATTTAAACACATGACCTCTGCGATACCGGTGCAGTGCTCTACCAACTGAGCTATCCAGATATAAACGTAACCCATTTTTGAGCTTTTTTGAGACTTAAAAGAATCCCCAAATAGGTCCAAATAAACTGAGAGACAGTCAGAACAACTTCAGTTACACTCTGCTTCTGATTTCAAGTAATTTCGAAAAGTACATCATTGTACTCTGCATTGAGGAGTATCCTTAAGAATGGATCGCAGACTCATTTCAGTTCCTGTAGTGCTCTGGATATCTCCGGAGATTACGGATCAGAATGATAATTGAACGCTTCTGAATTTACATTTAAATGTAACAGTTAGGGGGTCTTTTCTCGCAAAAACAACGCAAAAATTGAAAATGTTCTAGATATAATACTTTCTCGGTTGAATTGCCAGCACTTTAAAAATTTACTTCGAGACTCATAACTGTACTAGGCTTTTATAAAGCTCTTTTTATTTACTAACTTTTAAGAGCATTTGGTTTTAAAAGTTTGCTGATAAGCGCTTAAATAAAGAAGAAATCCGATATATTTATGTTTTCCAAGGAATACAGGTGTTGCCTTTTGTGATTCTTTTGAACGAGAAAGTTCCCGCCGTGAGCTGTAAAACAAGCTGTTTTCAGACATAAATATTCAAAAATGCTTTAAAGGCGAGCCAAATCAGAGTTAACAACTTTGGTTTTTTTTAATTTGGCATCGGTTTGATTTGAACAAGACCAAACTTTAGAATGATTTAACTGATCACAAATCAGCAACAAAATCAGGATATATGAGAAGTCAAAATTAACCCAAAGTTCTATCAACTAACAGAAAAACAAATTTTATCATAACAAATGCTATTAGGAAGCGAAAACTAAATATCCCTTCGACTCTTAGTCTCAACTTATTCTCTGTTATTTTTCGTTCTCTGAGTTTTTGACGAGAATAGAAAATATAGTTTTAATTTACAAGTTAATTTTTACTTTAAAGGGTGCAATTGTTAGTGTAAAAGTTACAAAGTATTTTGAGCTAAGCGAGTCTAATAGATAGTTCGCGAGAGGTTTTTACCTTTTTCGGGCTAATTTCTCTTGTGCTTCCAGCAAGCTGAATCTGTAAAGCAACCGTAACACAAAAATCACATAAATATTGCCTTTATGGCCTTAGCTGATTACTATAGTGGATTTCTCCTCAAAGCGCATCTAAATAGCCGAATAATGTCTGTCTCAATGAAGACACGTACCGTCACTTTCGAAATATAGAAAGCTGGTTCTTCAGGCACAGGTCTTGGTGGTGGCATTATCGATTGGTATCGAGGATACGACGGCTTCGCCTTAACAAAATGTGAGCGATGCATTTTCAGTGGAACAGAAAATGCTTCACGTTGAGTTCTCTTCGGCGACGAACCCGGTTGTTTCCGCGTGGTTGTCACTCCTTGAATTAATTTACAGCATAAATTATTCATTCAAAAGGAACCCGCAGCTTGAATGTTCGCTGTTAACCTCCTTTGTAAGTCACTGACTCATGCGTAATATCTGTGAGTGCCGCCGTTTTAACTTCACTAAGTTATGCTATACATACGAGAGACGACAACACAATAAATGATTGACATCAGTGAAGTTGGAATCTAGTTTCTTTTTCTGAAAGAGGATTTACCGTAATCTTTTAGTTGGCTACCTGTTTTATCAACAATAATTTTATGTTTTTAATTTTGAACCAGTAGGATAGTAAATAGATACGCTCCACGACGGTTGTAGAATTTGTTGGTAGAGTCGAAAGATAGCAGTCTAAACCTGGCAACCTGATGAATTGTAAATTCCATAATTTAGAAGTATTTTCTCTTTCACTACAACGTACGTGCGATCGTGTTGTATCAGTGATAAAATATGATCTTCTCCTGATTATCCTCTCTTGGTTACCACGCATTGTACAATGTCGATAAATTCATTTCGCGTGAAAATATGTAACAAATATTCCACGACAGCTCGTTCGATATCAGTTTTTTTTTTTTTAAAAAAACTTTATCATTAGATTATTGAATTCAAGAGTTTTCACTGGCTTAGCCATCATGGTATATGAGCCATTATACCTTTCTCCAAAAATATGGTAAGCGTAGGCGCAGTTTTCTGGGGTGTTTTTAGTTTATTTTAGATTTCTATATTTTGGGGGCGTCTTTAAGAAACGATTAGTTTACTCGTGCTTGCCGGATATGAGTATTGTGATGATTATCTAACGATAATCATCTCATATCCAACAGGCGCTAGTGGAATACTTGTTTTATTAAATTCGTAAATAACTTACTTAGAGCGGCGGTTTTAAAATGATTGTCGTAAAACCAAATCCAAACCAGCTACTTACCAATTAGACTATTTAGCCAATCGCAAAAAGAATTAAAACCAAATCAACCAAAACCAACGTAGTTCCCTGATTACTTTCGACACTCAATTGAAAACCGCTCTAAGTGTCAGGCAATTAGTTTGGTTTTGGTTTTGGTTTTACTACGGTTTAAGATTGGCTGAGTAGTCTAATTTGTAAGTAACTGGTTCGGTTCTGGTTTAATGATAGTTGAAAACCGCTCAATTTTTTTTGCAATCATGAAATCAACTTGATGAGGTGGACATATCAGTGTGATCTAAACTAAGCGGTGAACGAAAAGGCGGGAAAAATTCTGGCGCGGGTCGCTTGCGCGGTGTTTTACTTTCCGATTTGAATGAAACTTGTGAAGATAGCAAACGAGCCGAATTATTTCTCTAATTATCTCCTTTTAAGTAGTTTATACTCTGAAAAACTGCAGCAAAGGATTTAGGTTTATGGAAGGATTTGAAATATTCGGGAAGTTGGACGTCATATTCTTTTTACAAGTCCAATGAAGAACGATTTTCTGCACTTTATCTATGACCTCGAGGATGCCATCGTCAATTGTCAGTGGTCAATCATGCAAGCTTATGAGCTTAGAAGGGACATAATTACTTGACGTGATGGAGACAAAAAGAAACTATCAAAAGCCCTACGAAAGGGTGAAAGAGATCTTCGGGAAAAAGAGGTCTTCGAGGAGAATCTCACAGTCAGTGGCAAATGATTGAGCCGTCATGGCGAAAGTTTGCAAATTCATGGAGCCGGATTGAAAGTTTTGTCATGCTGAATGGAAAGTCTTGCCTAAACGTAAGGTAACAAACTTTAGTGAATTCCTAAATCCGTTTTCAGTTTCCGAATAAATCTGTGCCGCTTTGTGTTCGGATATTCTGGTGAATAGAGGAGTTCACGCTCTGAGGAGCATTATGGGTAATCAGGGCAAGATTGCAAAAAAACAAAGCCGCAAAATATATAGAGGATATTACACGGTGGCGAGAAGATATGAATTTTATGTTCGAGTGGCAAGGAGCCATGGCTCCTGGTTTTTCTTCATAGTTTCATTTTCGAGAAGAAACTTTTACTGTAAATAGGGAAACCCCTTTTCTACCTTTAGTACCGTTTTCGAGTTGATTGAGCTATGCATTAGCCTACTTATCAGTGTAACGGAGATGTTATTTTTGTGGCTTGAGCGGCTAAGACTTGATTTAACTGTAAAAAAATTCCTACGCCCACAACAATCCTGCTCAAAAACGCTGGTAAACGTAGAAAAGAGGTTTCTCCGTCTACAGTATATGTTTCGTCCCCAAATGTGAAATCAGAACGGAAATATAAAGATAAACATTTGCTTTACGGTTTTGCTTCTTTGTAAATTTGCCCTGATTACCCTTAATGCTCCTTAGAGCGTGAACTCCTCTATTGTTCGATGTTTTTCTTAATTCCTCGTTCATTAGCCTTTGTTAAAAATGCCTGCAAAGTTTTACAAGAATTTTTAAGCCATGTTTCCTATCAATCTCCTTGTCAGTACTTAGCTGAGTAAATTGTGACATTTCCATATATTTTTTGATTTTAGAACTTTTCGAGAAATTTCTTGTCAGGACGAATTAAAATGTCAACCGGTCAATTGGGTATCCGCGATGATGAAAAGCAGCTAAAGGGCAAAAAAAATTCATTACACGACATTTTGATAAACTAAATCAATAGCATTGTGTTTACATCGTTCCTTAGGTAAATGAACTGAAATGATGTGGGAGGAATCTTGTAATGGTAGGTGAATATATTTGTCATCAATCAAACCGAATGCCATTTAAGGCAGTTTGAAATTAATAACTTGAAACATATTAGTGTTTTGTCTTAGGAAGTGCAGCTGACAATTTTACTCCCAACAGTGACTAAGTTTAATTTTTTAAAATATTCTGTACTTCATGATCATAGGAACAATATCGGTCAGTCGTCCGCGCTTTCTTTAATTAGACATCGACAAGCCAAGGGTTTTATGTTAAGATCACCATAACATGGAACTACTTCTCAATCATATTTCTCAATCATAGGTGTCATTTGAGTATTCACATGTACAGCACGGTTTCATTCACCCGTTTGACTCTGAGAGGTTACATGAACAAAAACAAAAAAGAAAAATTGGCTATGGCTTGCAAAGAGATCACGTGACACGATGACAAAAAAGATAGCCGTGAAAGCTAATAAGTTTTATGAATATCAGATCATTTTTGTTTGTCCTTCAAATTGCTTTGAGACTGAGTCACACAGTTCCTTGATCTGTGAAGAAACTTCACTTATCGACATGTGAATCACCGACTATAATATGACTAATAATTTTGAAATGTCAACAATCATTGTCTTAGTATTACTCAACAGATTTAATGACGTGCTCACACATTCTTAGAATTTTTTTTAAACCCCTTTGAACTTGTTGGTTGAAATAAAGTTTTGTCATTCTCACGGCGACCGGCCTTCATGCTTTTAGGACTTTTTTAAGACTAGAACTACCATTTATAACGAGGCCATTGTAGAGTTTTTCTTTCAGTGATTCACACCGTTACATGGATGGTTAATAAGAAAGTGTTTACAGTGAAGCATCTGTGACCGTTATAAACCCCGTGAAAACTTGCAAAACCTTTGCTGAGTTTATTCGTTTCATTTATTTTTCAGTAGAGCCTATGAACTAGGCTATAGATTAAAGAGATCTTCTTAAGAGTTACTTTGACGGTTAAATTATCTATGTTCAGTGGGTTATTGATGTTATTTCGATGTACTGTACCTCATTTTCAAACTGTCCATCGCTAGCTGCTG